CTCTCTATTGAGCAATGTTAACTATGTGCCTGGACTAATGCAGTAGCCCCTTGATTGTTCTACTTCTATTCTCTTATCTTTGAATCCAACCCTTACCTACCGTCAGATACATAGACTTAAAACTAGTTCTCTTGCCTCACTGCTGCCCTTGTCAGAAACCTCCAAGTTTCCCATTGCTGACAATACTTGTCTAGAATTCAGAGCTCATCTCAGTTCATCCTTGACCTACTACTTCAGCCTGGCTTCTATTCTATTATGTGGTCACATCCAGGCTAGTAAAAACGCCTTATGCTTTGTTTTTCTGCTGCTGAACTCTTGCCCTTTAAGTCGCACCCATCTGACCCCTCCATAGCCCTTAAAACTCACTACCCACATTATCTGGGCTACTCCTGTGACACAGAGCCCTCAGTGTGATCGCTTTTCCTCTTTTTCATCCTGAATGTAGATATTTTAAGAGGAGATACCTCTTTGACATCTTTAGTATCCCTCACAGCTTTAGTACAGTGGCTTGCACTTAGAAAATAGTGGTTGGTAATGAGATCTGATGTTTCCTGTGAACTTTTTATTGTTTCACTTCCATCCCTCACTGATTTGACCAAGGCATTGTTCCTCAGTTCAGTTCAGCAAACTTGAGTAGAGACTGCTGTGTGCTTAGGAGTATAGAGGTAAATACAACTTATCCCTGGCTTTTGAAGGGTACCAGCCTGATTAGGGAGACTGACAGGGAGCTGCGTACGACCCATCGATAGGAAAAAGAGAGTGTAGGTCATCATTGCTGGTTCAGAAATGCAAGGCGGGGAATATTTGGAGATGATGTGGGAAGGAAAGGCAGAGACCAGATGATGGAAGGATTTGTTTGCAAAGCTTTGAGTTTATGGTTTATTTCCTGGTGAAGATGAGAGAGTGACACAGACAATATGTAGTCACACATAGGAGGCATTAAATAATGGAAATAGCATAAGCTCTAAAATGAAAGCTGGCTTTGAATTTTATCTCTAAAACATAGAACCGTGGACAAGTCACCAAGGTTTTCTGAGCCTCACTTTCCTCATTTGTGAAATATCAGGCAGACGAGCCTTACGGTGCAGCATGGTTGTGAGCGTTAGAGAGTTGTTGGGAGATAGTTTTCCAGGGGTCATGCACTGGTTGCCTTTGTTCCAGACTTTCTTTGTACAGTGATAAGCCTTGGAAGACAGAGATGATTCCCTTTGGAGTGGAAGATAGATTTGTTTACTCTTCAGTATAGTAAAGATAATGTCTCCCTTCGGGGCAAAATCAGACATGCCTCCTGCCCATTAAAATATTTGGGGTCCCTAAGCTTGGGGTTCCTTGGTTGTGGTGCAATGCCTCTTTCCACCTGAGCCACTCCATTCCTTCCTCATGGGACTTGGAGGGCACGGGGAACAGACAAGCACATGCTTCCTGTTGCATCATAAGTCATTATGTTCTTTGTCTCTGAGTCTTCTTCATGGAAATGAAGACTTCATAGGAGACTATATCTTTTGTCAGCATCTGAACTGTGGCAAACTAACTTTGTTAGCTTGCAAGTAGGGTAAAATCTCAGACCCTTCACAGTTCTTAAGAAGCATTTAGGTCACATTAAATACAGGGTAAATATTTGATTTGATAAATTGTAATAACAATTATTATTCTTTATCAGTGATCATTTGGGTGTTGTGGAGGATGGATTGGGGGAAGTTGAGACTGGAGTTAGACATACCAGTTAAGAGGCCATAGTCTAAAATGATGAGAGCTTGAAGTCTGATATTGTCAGTGGGAACTAGATGGAGAGAAGAGAGAAATTTAAGAGGTAGATTGACAATATTAGAGGATTAATTGGATGAAAAGAAAGAGGAATCAAGGATCACTTCAATATTTATGATGTGGGAAGCAAATGATAGCCATCAATCAAGATGAAATGCATGGGTGGAAGTCAAAGTATATAGAAGAAAGTGGCAAGCTTGGAGGATGTGGGCAGCTGGGTGGTAAAGCAAGTAGGCAGTTGTCTAGAGCTTAGGGGACACTATTGATAGAGTGAGAGGTTTGGGAGTTAACAAAATGTACGTGGTCATTAAGTCATGGGACTGGATGAGATTGCACAGGGCTTTTCAGTGTGCTCAGAGTTTCTGGAAATGTTCTGTTTGAATTTCCAGTGGAGCTGATTTCTACCCCTAACCCCACCATCCCCCATCCATGAACCAGAACAGATATCAAGCTTCCAGCAGAGCTGCTTGGTTTAAAGCCGAGTGTAAGGATGGATCCCCTCCCTCTAGGCCTTACCTTGCTTCCAAGGTGCAGGATTTGACAAGGTTTACTTTGAGAAATGAATTCCTGAGTTGAAAGCAGGTCTGAGGAAAGAGCGAGGAGTGGAAAGAGAAAGGAACCAAAGACTGAACCTCCAAAGGCAGATGAGGGCATTTTTTGTGCTTTGTTCCTCTCATACACTCCTGGCTTTTCCATAGGAAACCAGTAAGAAGGAGGAACCCACAGAATAACTCTTCTGTGAAACTTAGGATTCTTTTTCTCCATGCCTCATATATCTTATTGGTAAACTTTGTGAGTAGCAAGCACCCATTCAGAGACCTTTGGATTCACTGGACCCAGTCATGGTGGTGTTGGTAGAGCGTTGGCTATGAAGAGTCAGATGGGCCTGATTTTGGCTCTTGGTATACCACTTGCTGTCATTGTAACCTTGGAAAAATGACTTACTTGCGTCTCATTTCATTTTTCATAAAAATATGGGTGGTGGTAATTATATTAATGGGATATTGAGAGGATTGAAGATGATAAATGAATCTTTCAACTGAAACCTGGCAGGGTTGAGCCCTGTAATCTCTAAGCCTCTGTCTGGCTTAGACTCCATAGCTTGAGATTTATAATATGATGTTGCAATTATTTCTGTGTAAAGTCTTTTTTTTTTTTTTTTTTTTTTTTTAAAAAAAAGAACCTTTCACAGCATCCCCTTTGCGGAGTTCAGGAATTCTGCCTTTGAGAATAGCTCATGTGTTCTTTTTTTATAATTGCAGTTTTTCCACTACTCCCAAGGGCAAGTGTACCTTGGGAATTATCCACCATTTAAGGACAGAATCAGCTGGGCTGGAGATCTTGAGAAGAAAGACGCATCAATCAACATAGAAAATATGCAGTTTATACACAATGGCACCTATATCTGTGATGTCAAAAACCCTCCAGACATCGTTGTCCAGCCTGGACACATTAGGCTATATGTTGTAGAAAAAGGTACTTTTTAAAGTATTTTTTGCAGTATTGAAACAGTCTCCTTTATCTCATGTTTGGAATAACAGTTCCATTTCAAGGTGTGTTTGAAGGGAGTACTTTTGCCATGCAGCTGTGCTTCCTGTTTCCGGAGGATGTGGCTCTACCACACGCAGTGGGGGTGGAGAACTGTTGTTCATTCCCATCAGAGTGGCCAATTTCTCCATTTTTATTCCTGCTGCCTCTTGGTTTGATTTCAGGAGTATTAACTTTTCCGTGTTAATTAGAAGAAAGACCCAAATTCATTATGGTTGGATATGGTGGGTAGTGGAAAAGAAAGAGATTAATACTGTTTTATATTCTCAAGAAGAAAGTTTTGACATTTCCCAACCAGCACAGTTATTTCTTCTTTATTTTTTGAGAACAAACAGGAAATGCAGGCTCTAATGTCTCATTTTGAGACAAAGTCACTTTGTTGGAGAGTGGATAAGGTAAATTCACATCTCCAGCTTTTCTGGAGTCTAGAGCATTGAGGGGATTGTGTGTGTAGAAATACTTAGTTCTGTAGTTGATTCCTAGCCATTTGATATTTGTGTGTAAGTTAACTCATAGGATCTCATAAATTGAATAATAACAGAGGGTATGGTAACTACTAAAAGACGACACGTGCTTATTAATTTAATAAAATTCCTTTTTTTCTCTCTGTAGCGATGTACCTTAAAACAATTTTGTTCTTTTTCTCTAGAAAGTTTGCCTGTGTTTCCAGTGTGGGTAGTAGTGGGTATAGTTACTGCTGTGGTCCTAGGTCTCACCCTGCTCATCAGCATGATTCTGGCTGTCCTCTATAGAAGGAGAAACTCTAAACAGGATTACACTAGGTAAGAAACACTGTTTTTTAGGGCAGGGGTGGAGGGAAGGAATTGGGGTTTATGAAAACTTGTGTATTTTTTTATGGAAAAGGGATTATGAAGAATTAACTACGGTTATTTTCATGTCAGAATCGGGCAGTCTCCTTAGGTGTTTTGATGCCAGCAGGCAGAATCCATGGCCTGCTGCCGAATGTGGAATGTGATACTAATCCCTGTTCTGCAGTTTCCTCCTTAGGTTTGGTGAGATGAGCTGCCCAGCAGTCCGTGGTCTGTTTCTGTTCCATCCATTCTGCAGTTAGTTTTCTTAAGCCACAGGCATCACTTACCCAGTTTAAGAGTTTAATTTTGAATTTCTTGACTGTAAACTCCTAAGCTTCTTCATTTCAGCTAGGTAAATATAACGCCCTAATTAAGAAGTTGTGAGCGGCCGGGCTCGGTGGCTCTGCCTGTAATCCCAGCACTTTGGGAGGCCGATGTGAGTGGATTGCCTGAGCCCACAGGTTCGAGACCCGCCTGGGCAACTTGACGAGACCTCATCTCTACAACAAATCAAAAATTAGCCGGGCATGGTAGCGCACGCCTGTAGTTCCAGCTACTTGGAAGGCTGAGGCGGAAGGATCGCCAGAGCCCAGCAGGTCAATGCTGTGGTGGCCGGGAGTGGCCATTGCACTCTAGTCTGGGTGAGAGTGAGACTCCAACTCAAAAAAAAAACAAGTTGTGAGCAGAGTGAGGTGGCACATGCCTGTCATCCCAGCTACTCAGGAGGCCTAGGAGGGAGGATCGCCTTAGTCCAGGAATTCAAGTCCGTCCTGGGCAACATAGCAAGAACCTGTCTCTTAAAACAAGTTGTGCTCATAAATAACCTCCCAGCCCAGTGTGATGATGTGATGATGCAGGGCTGTTTCTTCTTGTAGTTCTCCCACCCTACTCCAAAGCTTAAGTGGTTTTGTTACCTTGGCCATTCTTTGCTGGGTTCACCCAAACTGGGATAATAAGTGTTGACAACAAAATATATCAGCAGTAAAGGAACGTAGACTTCCTTTTTGTTTCTGGCTTCTCAGTTGGAACACATTTTGGCATAGGATATATATCTAATTGAAAGACCTTCTCTCTTCCCCACTCCAGCTGGAAAGCTAACCATGTAAGCTATGTAGAACTCATGTGGTAAGACTGGGAGTGGAGGCTGGATCCAAGCTGATGTAGCACGAGCAGTGTCAAGGTGCACAGAAGCTAACTTTAACGCTCCTGAAGAGACTGATCTGAGAGGAGTTTGCATGCCTTGAGCTCTCTTGCTGGTGGATGGTGGGAACCTCTTTGGGCTCTGCTGATCTAGAGTTCTTATGAGTGCTGTGCTAACAAGTTTGAGGGTTCAAATTCAGATACTACTTGCTTGTAATGCTTCTGTTCTACTGACTGTACCTGCCCCCTTGCATGGTGAGTGTTTTATGATTAAATGTAGCTGGACTGTTGATTTTCAGCACGAGACTAATCTGATGTGGTTACATGCCAGCCTTTGCAGTTCTTGCTTTGGGGTTAATGAAGGGGCAGGAAGGTGGCCTTGAAATCCTGCATGGCATCGAGAATGCTGCTCTTCTTACTTTGGTTTTTTTCCTCCTCCCCTGCCTTTTCACCTTGGTGTGCTGGGATCAGATCCTGCTTGTCTTCCACTTCTTAAGAAAAGCTGACATAGAAGACACATTGGGACTAAACAGGGCTGGGGCTCCTCCTCCACTCCCACTAGACACATGGTAACTAATCACATTGCCCATTGCTGTTAATATTCATGTGTATGTATTCGGCCCTTCTCCCCTGTTGACAACTAACCAGCTAGCTCTGAGCTAACCCAACAGCTAGTATAGTTTGTCTACAAGTATGTCACGTGTTTGTTTTGGGAACATGTTGAGCATACCATCCGGATAAAATTGGGTTATCAAGTTATACAGAGGTTTTATGATCATCTGAATATATGTGCTCTTCATGTAAAATGCCTTTGTGTGTATGTGTGTGTTTGTTTTCTTTTTTCATACATGAATTGTATTATTGATGATTGAGGTCCTCTTTATGTTAAAATAATCAAGCAATTTTGGTTGGAGCATGTAGCCTCCCATTTCAGAGAAGGTACAGTTTGCTGAATGCATGGTATATGTTTGTCTTAGAAATTACACTTTAAATATAATCCTCCCCAAACTCCTAAGTTTAGAAAAGAATATACCATAAAGGCTTTAAGCCGTACTGATGACACAGCTCATTAGAAAATCGCTAACTTCCTGGCATTTACTTTCCTTGATTTATTTATGAGATGGTGTTTGTTAAAGACCCTCCAGGCCCCTGCAAAGGGTTATCCTATGTGATGTAGCACTACATGTTCTCTCATATGACTTTCTGGAGTCTTGTGGGGCTTGGCTGTGGTATTGGTAGGGAATAAAATAAGGAGAGAAGAAGACAAGCCAAGACTATGAACCTGGATGTATAGCTGTAAGATGTATAGCTGTAACTTTAAAATACATTCAGAAGAGATTTGCCTTTACTGATAACAAAAATGAATCACCATTAAGTTAAGGCCCTGTATGACTTGCTCTTTTAAACCCTTATCCCAAAGGAGGGTCAGTAGCAGAGGAAAGACAAAAAAGCGAAAGGTTAAATGTGTGCTGTAACCAAAATTTCAGTATCATTATAGTAAATTGGGGTGAAGAAATTGTTTCTGTGCCTCCCTCAGTGATGAGTTCAGGGATAGAAAATAGTTTTAAGATATGTAATTGTTTCGATACCCATTGTTTTGTTGTCTTTTGTTTTTATACATCTGCTTCATCTTGCAGTCACTTGCATTTCCTCTGTATTTTTGTTTCTGTTTATGTTAATGTTTTTTCACATTTGTTCTCCAAATTGCCAATTCATCAGCTGCAGTACATCAGAGAGTTTGTCACCAGTTAAGCAGGCTCCACGGAAGTCCCCCTCCGACACAGAGGGTCTAGTAAAGAGTCTGTCTTCTGGATCTCACCAGGTAATGGTTGATTGCAGTTCCGCCCACTGTGCCCTACAGTTTGGTGCTTGGTCACTTCACTGGGTGCAGGAAAGAATACTGAGCTGTGAGAAAGAGACACACAGGGGGGGAGAGAGAGAGAGAGAGAGAGAGAGGGAGAGGGGGAGAGAGAGAGAGAGAAGATTTCTATGAAACCACACTACCATAAATTGTTTACTAACAGTATGACTCCTTTGGCTCAAGTAGAATGAGGAAGTGGCTTTGTCGATGTAAAAATTATTCTTTACTCGCCCAAGGAAGTAAATCTAGCAAAATAAATTCTGTATCGAGGTACTTTATAGCAGCAGTTCCCAAGCTTTTTAACATCAGGGATCAATTTCATGGAAGACAGTTTTTCTACAGAGACAGGGGTGGGGTGAGGGGGGTGGTTTTGAGATGATTCAAGTACATTACATTTATTGTGCACTTTATTTCTATTATTACATTGTAATATAAAATGAAATAATTATACAGCTCACCATAATGCAGAATAGTGGGCCCCCTGAGCCTGTTTTCCTGCAATTAGATAGTCCCATCTGGGGGTGATGAGAGACAGTGACACCCGAAATGTATTGCTTATGTCCATCCAGTCTATTCCATCTTCTCATTTTGGTTGCTGTCACTGCAGAAAATCCTGCTTCACAAAGATAGGCTGTTTAGGATGTTGGAAATGGAAGCAAGCTTTCAGTGCTGGTCTGACAGGAGGCAGAGCTCAGGTGGTAATGCGAGTGATGGGGAGTGGCTGCAAATATAGGTGAAGCTTTTCTAGCTTGCCCACCACTCACCTCCTGCTGTGCAGCCTGGTTTCTAACATACCATGGACCAGTATCAGTTAATGGCCCCAGGGTTGGGGACCCCTGCTCTATAAGACAAGAAATTAGCAGGAAAAAATTGATATTCTTGGTATTGATAATAAAACAAATTATTTTTTGTGGATTCTTTAGAAAAAATTGGAAGTAACCATTTGTCTGAATAATTAATAGGCTTGATAAACAAGGAATGGTTTTGGTTTCTATTTCTTATAGAAAGCACAGAAGAGAAATAACAATTATTTGGGATTCAGTACATACTTTGGCATTGAGTGTTTTGGCTATGCTATTTGGATTATAATTTTGGCATGGCAGAAATTCCATAGCTTAGTAACAGTTTAGTTCTTCTGGGATAGAAAGCATTCTAAAGAATCTGGCCAATTATAGCTTTGTCCTGAGGAGACAGTAACCTGTAGGAATGGATTTAAAAGGAAGTAAAGAGGATAACAGTGTTTTGTAGAAGTTCCCATAGTCTTTTTCCACAGTTGTTATATGTGGGGAGGAAACTGTTATATCAGTGAGGAAACTAAAGCATCATGATGTTTAATCACTGAAACACACACCCAGTTAGTGACAAAATTGGTCTAGAACCCAGGTGATTCTACCATAGTATCAGGCTCATTACTTGTTCCTATTCTATCTGTATTTCTTTTTTTGTTTGTTTTTTTGAGTTGGAGTCTCTCTCTGTCACCCAGACTGGAGTGCAGTGGCCACTCCCGGTCACCGCAGCCTCGACCTGCTGGGCTCCAGCGATCCTTCTGCCTCAGCCTTCCAAATAGCCAGAATTACAGGCATGCACTACCATGCCTGGCTGATTTTTTGATTTATTGTAGGTATGAAAGTTATAAATAGGCATGACATCTAAAGAAGACTTGAGACATTTTTATTCTGCCCTTGAAGTGCTATGAGAGTTACTCTTTTGCAGAAAACAAACTGGGGGAAAAAAAGAAACAATGGTTTTAGAGACTTTGGAAAACAGATTATGCAGCACTGTGATCCCTGGGAGAAAGGAAACTAATAATGTGAGCCCTGAGAGGGTCATAGCTTACTGCCTTGCAGCAGTTTCCATACTGCAGTACAGGGAGGGGAAAAAGGAAATGGCCCAGCTGTCTCGCTGAGCTGAGGTGTCAGAAATCAGACTTTGGGGAGGTCAAGGTGGCTAGGCTTTATGAGACAGAGTACCAGAGAAGCAGGTATGGAGAGAGCATGTGCGAGCACAAGCACATCAGAGATCTGGAGTGGGTTGAGCCTTTTTTGAGTCTAAGTGCAGATTTGCACAGGAGAAAACACTTTGAGACCAGGGAAAGAACTACCTGAAAAGCAGTAGGTTTCACAATGCCTGAAGCTCACACAGGGCTAAGAATAGTTTGTGTTCCTATAAGCCAGAGTGGAGAGATTCATCATACACAGGGGATCTGGTGGAGTGCTCAGAGTGTTCATGCCTTAGTAGTAGGGCTAAATTAGCACCAGAATAAAGAATACTATGGACCTACCATAACAAAGCTTAAAAGGAAGCCTTTAAAGTCTTTACAAGAATACAACAAAATTCAGCATCTAGCAGTGTAAAATTCACAATGTCTGGCCTCAGTCAAAAATTACCAGTCATACAAAGAAATGGAAAAATAAGATGTATAAGCCAGTTGTAGCGGTGTATGCCTGTAGTCCCAGCTACTTGGGAGGTTGAGACAGGAGAATCGCCTGAGCCCAGCAGTTTGAAACCAGCGTGGGCAACATAGCAAGACACCATCTCAATGAATGAATGAATCAATCAATCAATAAGACACATAATGAGGAGAAGTCTATCAGCAGAAACAAACCAGAAATGGGAGAGATAATGGGATCCATAAACAAGAACCTTAAAATAAGTATTATAAATTTTATAAGTAAACTTAAGTATGTAAAGGAAGGCTTGAACATAATGAGAAAAGAAATAGATACTTAAACCAAAATGGAACTTAGAGAAATTTTTTTTTAATGTGGATGATGTTAACAGATTAGTTGCTGCAGAATGAAAGATCAGTAAACTTGAAGACATAAAGCAATAGAAAATATTCAAAATGAAACATGAAAGACAGACTGGGAGGAAAGTGCACAGAGCTTCAGTGAGCCAATGAACAATATATTAGGCAACCTAATTAGAGTCTAAGAAGGAAAGGGGAGAGAGAAAAAATATTTAGTAGCCAAAATTTTTATAAATTTGATGAAAAATGTAAATCTATAAATCCAAGAGGTTTAACAAACCCTGAGTTGAAGAAAAAAGAAAATCACATTAAGACACATTATAATCAAGTTGCTTAAGACCATTGATAAAGAAAACATTGTAAAAGTTGTCAGAAAAAAAGGAGGAGGCATTATAGAGGGTCAAAGATAAAAATGACATCAGACTTCTCTTCAGAAATCATAAGGCTAGAGGCAATGGAGCCTACACTACTGAGAAAAAAAATGATCAACTTGGAATTCTGTACCTAGCAAAAATATCTTTCAGATGTGGTGGGAAAAAAAAGAGCCAAGAGGATTTGTCACCAGCAGATGTGCTGTATTGCCGTATAAGAAATGTCAGTTTTTCAAGTAGAAGGAAAAGGACACCAGAAGGAAGTTTAGATCTATGCAAAGGACTGAAGATCACAGGAAATGACAAATAAGTGGAAAATATAAAAAGCTGAAATGTACAATTAAAAATGGTGACGATGGTAAATTGTATGAGATATATATTTTACCACAATTCTTTTTAAAAGTTAAAGGATGAAAATGATTTGTTATATTACCATTAAATAAAAGAAGTCTGGATGGTTATAATAACAAAATAGACTTCAGAATAAAGAATATAGCCAGGAATAAAGAGGGAATTTTCATGATGATCAAGTGATCTATTCATGAAGAAGACATAATTCTAAATGTTTATACTTCTATCAATAGAGCCTGTAAATAAATGAAGTAAAAACTTAAAATTGAAAGAAATAGACATGTTCACAATCATAGTTGGAGGTTTCAACACTCCTCTCTCAGCAATTGGTAGAACAAGAATACAGAAAATCAGAAAGGATACAGAAGAGTTGAACGACACTGAAACCAATTTGCCCTAATGAACATTTACAAAGCACTCCTTCCATCAAGAGCAGAATTCTTACTCTTTTCAAGTACACTTGAAACATTCACCAAATATAGACCATATGCTGAACTTAAAACAATTCTCATTACATTGAAAAGGATTGAAATCATACAGAGTATGTTCTGTGGCCACAGTGGAATTAAACAAATTAACAGAAAGATATCTGGAAAGTCTCAAATATTTTGAAATTAACCAACCTATGAGTAAAACAATAAGTCACAAGAAAAGTAAGAATGTTTTGAATTGAGTGAAGAAAACACAGCACAAAATTTTTAAGATACAGCTAAAGCAGAGCTTTGAGAATTTCTAGCATTAACTGCTTATGTTAGAAAAAAACTAAAGTTCTAAAATTCATGATCTAGGTTTCTGCCTGAAGAAACTAGAAAAAGAAGTGCAAATTAAACCCAATATAGGCACATCAAGGGAAATAAAGACAAAAGCTGTTGAAAAATCAGCTGACATTCTCATTCTTCTATAGGTAATCTGTCTCTTCTCTGGTTGCTTTTCAGATCTTCTCTATACCTTTGGTGTTCTGCATTTTATCTCCTATTCATTTATAGATTACCCCTTGTTGCTTCTGCTTGGAATTTCACTGGACTTCCTGAATCTGAAGTTCTGTGTCTTTAGTAAATTCTAGAATATTCCCAGTCACAATTGCTTTGAATTTTTCCTTTCTCTGTTTTACTATTTTTATCTTTTTATGGAACTCTGATTAGTTGTATACTAGACCTTTTCTATACTCTGTCTCTTAACCTGTTTTGTGTATTTTTCATCATATTATCGCTATGCTTTTTTCTGCGTGATTTCTTCATCTGTCTTTCAATTCACTACTTCCTTGGTTGTGTCTAGTCTACTATTTAGCCACTCTTTAAAGTTTTAAAATTTGTTTTGTAATTATAGGTTTCTTGCCTAGAAATTCTATTTCGTTCTTTTTAAAATATGCCTGGCTAATTTCGATAGTTCCTTGTGACTTAATTATATTTTCAGTACCTTATTTATTTATTTATCTATTTAAGCCTAAGTAGTCTTATTTCTCAAAACTGATCATTCCAGTGTCTGTAGTC